GCATTCCATTTTAGCACCTCCTGATGCTTATCCATGAGGCCCCAAGAGTTTTACAGACACAAGCTCAATACACATGATGATTTTCTTGGGAACACAGATGAAATAAATCTCAGGTTAAAAAATTCTCTCCTATTTTTTTTAGCACTCTGCACCCTCCTAGTTTTTCTTATTATAACTGAAAATGTTGTGGTTTAGAAAATTGGCCATGTTTCAGACAGTTCATTTTAACTATTTTCCCATCTATTAAATTCTTTCCTCCTTTAAAAAAAAGTTTAATATGTTCATTTCCTAAAGGCATAAGAAATAAACAATATTAGTACAGTGGCTATATAAACTTTTATAGGAGTAATTTAAACTGAATTAATGATTTATAATACCTTATAGAGGTATGAAATAGAAAAATAAAGTTTTATTCACATATAAATATTATGTACATTGCTATGGTCTGAATGTTGCTGTCCACTCAAACTTCATATACTGAAATCCTAACCCCCCCTGGTGATTATGGTGTTAGAAGGGAAATTTGGGGAGGTTATTAGGTCTTGAGGGGACTGATACCTTCATAAAATGGGCTCCAGGGAGCTAATTTGCTCCTTCCACCATGTAAGAGTATAGCAAGAAAGCTCTCACCAGACACATCTTCCAGTGTGTTACTGCCAATGCCTCCACCACTGTGAGCAAGAAATGTCTAAATGCTGCCCAGTTCATGGTATTTTGTACCAGCAGCCTGAATGAGCTGAGACATGTGCCAGGTACAGAAACATACATATTAGCAGAAATAAATACACGCATCTCCCTGTCATTTACTTACTCCTTTTCCATTATGTTATCCTTTTGCTTTATATTCTCTGAGTCATTGGGAAGACAACTATTTACATGTGTATTGCCGATACTGCATGTGACTGTGGATGTGGTCATCTCTTCCCTCGGGCTTTCCGTGGTCTTTTCAATTTCTATCTCTGTTGTCCGGATTATGCCATGAATCTCTTCCTTGTTACTACTTATGCTCTCAGCAGTCACGTGTTTGATTTGTTTATCACCTTCGTTTTCTGTGTTATCTGGGAACATTTTGTGCTGTGACTCTTCTTGCCCCATTACACTGCCACTCAGTGGCGCCTGGTCTCCTTCCCCCACTAATTCTGAACTTGCACGTGTTGTATTTTTTCCTAACAGGACCTGGTGTGTCTGATGACTTTCCTCAGCATTTGTGGCAGAAACAGTAGCTGTTTCTATGACATTTAGTTCCCTTTTTGCAGCAATGTCTGTTGGTTTGGTATCTTGAATGGTGGACATTGTCTGCTGCAGAGAACTCTCATCATGCAAGCCGCATAAATTACACATCTCCCTTTCTTCTTTCTTCAAAAGTGTAGCAGTGCTCCCCAAATGTTCATTTATTTTCATGAGGCAGTCTATAAAAGTAATGGTTTCTATACACACACACACACAAAAAGAATAAATACAAAACTGAACCAAATTATGTTTCTGCAGTGACGTCTAATGAGGTATGTCAAGATAATCTTGATAATTTTAGAAATTTGCAAAGGCTCTTGCTGAGCACTTAAGCCAAACTCCTGAAGGAGAAATCATTTGTATAAGTGTCACTCTTTTCACACTTCTAGGAATTGGAAACAAACTACTTTTAACATAGTAGCAAAGAGTAAATCTAATGCCTCTTGCTCATGAAAATGCTTCGAATATTCAAGGACAGATACTACGGCCCATTCCCCAATAAGAACAGAAGTTAACATCTCTCTAACATCTCACTTCTCATTTGGCATTATTTTGAGAATTCTTCCCTTTCCTCTGGATGTACTAAAGATTATCAATTACCCATTTAAAATGCTGGGCTAAAATTAGCTGAATACCCAAGACACTGCAGCTACGCTATTTCTGCTGGTGCAGATGACATATTTGAGGAGGGTGGTTTGCTGCTATGAGAACTGGATTCGGTTTACATTATTCCTTCTGCTAAGCTTGTGATCATTGGAAATTTTCAAACTAGTCTTTTAAGGAATAGTTTTGATCATGCCAATTCTCTGTGGAGCCTGCAGTGGCTACTGAGTGACAGCTAAGCTAAGTCAAGCCTCTGGGGTAAACTGTCAACAGGATCTGAGCTGGGACCATCTTTCCCTCCACCATTATGTCTCACCGTGCTCCTACTTGTTCATCCCTCTTCTCCTCACAGCTAGAGTCATCTGATGACATCTTGTAGGCTTAGCACCCCTCCAGTCTTTACAATTCAATTCTGAACTAAAGTATATATGATTTAGGGCCCCATAGTGTGGTGTTTTTAGAATCTTCATCATCTTTTCACAGGCCCAGGCTTGTCTTTGGGCTCTAGTTCTGACAACTTTTTTTTTGTCTTATACCTGAGACTCTGTCTTGTTTTAACCTCTGTTCTGGCGGTTTAGTCCTTGTTTTCTCTTAATAGATATGTATTATTTTCTTTTTTTAGAGACAGAGTCTCATTTTATCACCCTCGGTAGAGCACCATGGTGTCATAGCTCACAGCAACCTCCAACTCCTGGGCTTAGGTGATTTTCTTACCTCAGCCTCCCAAGAAGCTGGGACTACAGTTGCACACCTAGCCATTTTTTGTTGAAGTTTGGCCGAGGCTGGGTTCAAACCCACCACCCTCAGTACATGGGGCTGGCACCCTACCCACTAAACTGCCCCATGAATAGATACGTATTTTGCTATGTTGCCTAGGACAACATTGCCATGTCCAATTCTCTGGAGACCTGGTTATAAGCTTCAGCTGGTGGCTTCAGTGTCATGCTGCCTTTGGGCAGATTTTCCCAGGGCCTATTATTTGTCCTCCAGAATCTAGGCTAAATTTCCTAATATTATCTACCCTGCATTCTTCCCACTTGCCTTGACATTATATTACTGTTATTTAGAGCAGACTTTCATGATGCCACCTATATTCTTACCTGTAGTAACTGTTGCCTAAGACCATATTCATCATATACAATGTTCTTTTGCCTTACTTTATAGCATCTGTAACCAGGCCTATTCCCAAGAACTACTCCCCAAAGTGTATGGGGAGATCCAATTCCCTACCCCCTCCCACTCCAGTCTTCCCAGTGATTTTACCACTAATAAAGTTCAAGTTGAAACAACTCTAGAGATAAGAGTTTTGCATTCCATTGTAGAATAGCTGCTTGCTCTGTATCAAACTCACCCTATAATTTCCTATCGCTAAGTCTTGGATCCTGTTAATAATATCTCAAGATTCCCAATTTTCTGCTGCATAAGTCCAATTCATTCTTTAAGTTTCATCTAAAATGCTACATTTGTTCTAGCAAAATTCTCTATTCCCCAACCTAAAAATGGGATTTTGTCTCATTCTGAAGACCAAAAGTATTTCACCATATGTCTCTCCTGGGACAGGCCTTAATGTTCCTTGCATTTTGTGCATTGCTCTTATTTTCCTTATTATATTGTGAGTCTCTTGCAGACAGAGACTAGCTTAGCCTTGTTTGTGTGCTCAGAGCCCCTCTCGGTCACAGAAAGAATGAACTAAAGAACACTTGCCTTGTTTCCAGA